AATAAACAAATTAAATGACCAGTACTCTTTGGTTCTCTATTTCTGCACTGACAAGAGTTAATTTCTGAGTGCAAAGCCAGGAGTAAACCCTGAGCATTGTAGTTGTAACTCCCAAACTAAAAACAAACAAACAAAAACCCAACCATTCTTAAAATGATATTTCCTTTTAAGTTTTATTTTTTCTTACCCAGATCTCTATCACAGACAAACAAAATGAAAATAAAATACTGTACTGTCATCTACTGATAATTTATTACATTTGCATAAATCACAGAAAATAAGAGTTTACAGATTAGTATTCTAACTGAAACCACAAATAGGATACAGATACAAATATTAATCATCACTGCCATCCATAAGTCCTCTTTGAGAAAGTGTCTGTTCATATACTCTCTACATTTTTAATGGGTTTCTGTTTTTGTGTTACTGAGCTTTGTGGGTGCTTTATTCATGAATATTAGCTCTCAGAAGATGGCCAGCTGGAAAAGGGTTGTGAAATACTGCTAACCTAAACCAATAACCATCTACTTTGCTATAATGGGTCATAAATTCTTAGTATAAATGGCTTTTAAAATTGTTCACATTTCTTAAGATTCCACTTACAAAAATAAGAGGCCCAGAGTGATAGTACAGAGCATAGGGTGCTTGCCTTGCATGTGGATGATTGGACTTATTCCTCCCAATAAAGGTACTCCTCCTTACCTATCTCCCAAACTCTGCAAGGAGCGATCCTTGAGTATAGTCAAGTGTAAGCACTAAGCACTCCTGGGACTAGTACCCCCTGCCAAAATAAATAAAAAGGTACATAAATAAATAAAGATTTACAGGGTGGCATAAGAAAGTCTGGGACTTTTCTCCCATAGTTCCTCTTAACAACCAGGAACTATTTCCACCCTCAAAGTGCTCTAAGTTTCTATAGTGGAGAAATGGTCAAATAATTAAAATGTGGATGCAGAGTAGCTGCTCATTTAATCCACCTACATTATCCTCCAACCAATTACCCTATTCCTTTCCTTTGTAAATAATGAATTATTAATTCCCCTATCCTGCTGCTGAATGCTCATGTTGAATGCTCAATATTAGGAGGCAACTCTTTAGGGCCTACCGACTATGCTCTCACAATGAGTTGCTTATGCTTGTTCCCAAAATTGTTTATGCCAGTTATACATGTTATTATGCTTTCATAATTAAATATTAGGAGAACCAGTGAAATTACATGGGGATATGTAATGCAAAGTTTTTTCTTTGCAATCTGTTTAATATTTTGGAAAACTCCAATAAAGCTGAGTTGTCTGACAATATATGGCAGTGTATAAAACTACAAAGAAGTCTTCATATTTCCCCTTATTTTACTCTTGACTAAAGACAATCTTGGGAAATCTTAGAGGCAATTGTGCAAGAGATACAATGAAGAAGTCTAGTCAGCAGACCATTTGGAACGAAATGGTTTGAACTTTCTCAAGTTGGGAAATGAGATCAAGTTTTAGGTTAAAAAAATGTTTACTGTACTGATATTGAACTTTCTCATGACCTGGGTTTAAGTTTTTACAAAAACAGCTTTATTTAGGAATATTTTATATGAGGGGCTGGAGTGATAGCACACTGGGTAGGGCGTTTGCCCTGTACACAGCCAATTTGGGTTCGATTCCTCTGCCCCTCTTGCCCCTCTGGCAAGCCACCGAGAGTATCTCGCCTGCATGGCAAAGCCTATCAAGCTACCCGTGAAGTATTTGATGTGACAAAAACAGTAACAACAAGTCTCACAAGTTGTCAGACGTTACTGGTGCGCGCTCAAACAAATCGATGAACAACGGGAGGACAGTGCAACAGTGCTACTTTATATGACATCAAATTCATTCTTACAAAAGGTACAATTCAATACTTAATCAACTTCTTTGACTTATTCCATGGGTATGGGTACGAACTACATTCAGAAGAGGGCTTCTTCTCGATGATCAAAAATGCTAAAGAAGCTTGTTGAAGGGATAAGAATTCAAGAAGATTATTTCTGAGCTTAAGAGGTCTTGAAGCAGTAGCAGTCAAATAAGCATATGAAGACAAGGTAAATGTAGTAGAAAGAATTGCATATGTGAAGGATAAAATCATATGGCCCTTCTAAGAACAGTGTTTAGTTTGAGTGACAAGAAAAAGGTAGTTGTTTTTTCAAATCTAATTAAGCATCTGAGTCATCTGAAGAGATTTAATCAGAAAAAAACAGCACAGCAAAGTAAAACATGCCCAGACCTAACTCCTAGATTCTGATTCAAATGCATACCTGGAGTAGGGTACCTTACATTTTTTAAGTTCTGCTGTGCATGCAGGATTAAGTACCACTAAAGAGTTAGGAGATGAGGCTGGGTAGTTGAGGGTTAGATGGTAAAATGAAACAGCATATAAATACAATACACTGACACTCTCCTCCCCAGCAGTTCCACTGTCTTGAAATATTTCTTTTCTTTTTTTCTTATTTTTTTTCTTTTTTGGGTCATACCTGGTGGTGCTCAGGTGTTACTCCTGGCTCTGTACTCAGGAATTACTACCGGTGGTGCTTTAGGGGGGACTATATGGGATGCCGGAGATTAAAAATGGGTTGGCTGTGTGCAAGGCAAATGCCCTAACTACTAGCCCCTCTTACTACATTTTTAACTGACACAACTGTTGCATGAAAGAAAATAAAGTCCTACTGTTGTCTACAAAACCAGGGATAAATTTTAAACAGGCTTTATAACTAAAAATCCTCAATTTTGCTTAAGTTAAAAATCACTATCACTCCGTTGTTCACCCATTCGCTCGAGCGGGCCCAGTAACGTCTCCATTCATCCCTGTCACGTGCTAGTGTAGCCCGATGATATATTGGGGGCTCCTTCAGGATCAGGGGAATGAGGACCATTCATTGTTAAAAATATTTAACATAAAACAAGCTCAGGCAGAGCATTGGGCTCATACCACCCACTTCCCAATTGTTCCATAACCCCCGGCCCCCATCCCCTCCCATGGTATCATCCACTTTGGGAAATACTGCTCTAGTCAACCAGAATATACACTTGGCCACCTCCAAGATCCTATCTACACTTTTAGACGTGAGATTCTTTGTCATTTTAGCAAAAGGTCCTTCAGCATTTTATCATCTAAGCAATAATACATTCAACAGGACCTCTTCTTCCATTATAACCAGTTTCACAAGGAATATTCTTTCTCCCAGTCTAAAGTTAAGATATATTTTGTCTTCATCACAGCATCTGCCTTCCATATAGTAGTTGGTCAGTAATCTTAAATAGATGTTACATTTAACCTCTGCAGAAGAACGAAGGACAATTATTCGCAGTCTTATTATAATTCTATAGGTTAAAAGTATAACTTACTAGTGGCACATATTTTTCAAAGGGAAAAGAGGACAGCTATTTGTCGGTACAAATAAAAAAAAAAGGAGAGTGACAAGAGTGATGATCTAATCAGCAAGAAAGTCAGAATCAGAAAAAAGGCAAAGAATATGTCAACTGCCTTGTTTCTGAAAACAAACCAGCAGAACCCGTAATAGTACCTACCCTGTCCCCACCTATTCCCAGACACCCTATATGAATCCTGAATGGAACAAACTGTTAAATTCTACTCTACTAAAAAATGGGAAGAGGTGAAGACCCTTCCCCAAAACACATCTACCCATCGTCAATAGGCACATGAAAAAGTGTTCCCTACCTGATTATTAGGGAACGCAAATCCAAAAGGCACTGAGATAGCTCCTCACACCAGTAAGAAAGGCCTGTAACAAAAATCCCAGAGACAAACAGTGCTGGCCGGAAGCCAGTGGGAAAAAAGAACCCTTGAGTTAGCTGTTGATGGGATTACAAACCCAGTCAGCCTCTATGGGAAGTAGTATGGAGATGCTTCAAAATTTTTAAAGTAGAACTTTCATTTGACCCAGCGATTCCAGCCTTAACATCTAGCCCAAGAACGCAGAAACATCCATTCATAAACATATGTGCACACCTGTGTTCATTGCAACATGGTGTGCAGGAGCCAGACTCTGAAAACAAGCCGAGTCCAGAAGGAGCGGATAGAGCCATGGATACACATATCATGACCTGCTACTCAGCTCTGAGAAATGATGACATTTACCCTGTAGTCTCAACACGGATGAAATGAAAGGTGGGGGTGAGAGGGGAAATGTCAGGCTCTGAAAAGTTAAGCCAGGAGGAACCAGACAGATACTCACACCCGAATGCAGTATATAAAGAAACAAGGCAAGAAATGAAAACGAAGCCCAAGACAACAGAACTGAAGTTCAGGGTAGGGTCCCCTACAGGCAAGCGCTAGAGGGTGTGGGGTGGGGTGGGGTGGGGTGGGATGCGGATATTGGCTCTTTGCAGGCGGGCCTGTTTTGCCAACCTTGTGCCCCTGAAACATAGAAAACAGTCACGGTCCTGCAAACGATGACTGCTGCTTCGGCCTTAAAAATAAAAATAAAAACACAGTCCATGGGCTCAAGCACAGTCCAGGAGCTCTGATTCAGACAACCCTGCTGGGCCGGAGCAATTAACAGCAGGGTAGCTTGTGGGGCGCTAGACCTGCACGTGGCAAAGCCGGGTTCCACCCCTGGCACCACATAGGGTGCCCATGGTGGGGAAGGGGGGTGTGCCCCGACCCCCAAACAGAACAAAATCCCCTCGGGCTCCCTAGCACCCCGCCGGGCCGGGCCCCTCTCAGAAGGGGACTGGCGGCGCACAGGGAGGGGCGTGGCGGCAGCGGCGGGGTGTCCTCGCGCGGCCGCTGACCCGCGGGGCCCCAGTTCCTCTTCGGCCTCGGGCGGGCCCCCCCAAGCCCCCCCCCCCCACCGCCCCGGGTGCCTCGAGGCTGCGCGGGCGAGTCGGGGCGGGCTTTTCCCTGTAGGGGCGACGCCCGCGGCGCCCCGCTTTCCCATAGGCTGAGGGGGCGGGGTGGGGCGCACAGCGCAGAGGGTGGGGCGGCCCCGGGGCTGCCTGGCGGGGCCCCCGGCTTCCACAGCGGCGGCGGCGGCGGCGGCGACTCGGCGGCAGGTGGCGACCACCCGCGCTCACCTCGCTTCTGGGAGCTTCGAGGCCACCCGAGCGTCGGCGGAGGCGGGTCGCGCGGCGCAGGGCGCAGGTTCGGAGCGGGGCGGGAAGCCCTTCCGGGGCACGGGGGTCACGGAGGCGAGGCCGGCGGAGCCCGCGGCGGGGGTCGGGGGCGGCCGCGCGTGCCCGGCCACCGAGAGAAAGTGCCCGGAGGAAGCCGAGCAGAGCCCCGAGACCCCGCCCGGGCTGGAGGACCGCGTCGTTGCCCCCGGCCGGGGATCTGAGCACTGTCTGGAGCTATTTCTGCGTGCAGGGGCCAGGAGGAACCTCCGAGCATCTCCGGGTGGGACCCCAAAACAAAGTCAATGTGTATAAAAATAGTGGTGACAGGAGAGTTGATGGGAGAGTGACGTGGGCAGGGGGATTTTGTGGATTTTGCATTTTCGTGTTTATTTTTTGGCAACTGTGTTCAGAGGAGCGATAGTGCAGTGGGCAGGACGTTTGCCTTGCACACGGAGAACGGCAGCGGGCGTCTGCTTGAAATGCCATTTCGGGGAGGGCAGCTCCTTTCCCCTTACCTGAACCCCAAGGTGTTTCAAGGATTTCCTATGACACGTGACTCACCGTGCCTGTCCCGCCGGGCAGGACCGAATTAACACAACAAACACCCAGCACTTAAAAAACCGGACCTTCTTGAAAGTGTGTAAGTCTGTAACTGTACCTCACGGTGGGTGATTCATTAGAAAGTATAAAAATTAATATAAAAATAAAGGTAAAGGTAAAGGCCCTCCCGTTGATCGTCGATTTGGGCCCGCTCGAGCAAATATAAAAATAAAATAATAAAAATCAGGAGGTTGGCTAAGTCAACAATAAATAATTCCCTTCTTAAAAATTCCCTAGATGAAAGCGACAATCCAGAGATCTCAGATAGGTTCACAAGATGAGCTAAGAAATCGCTTGCAAAATAATAATAGTAATAATAATAATAAAGGTAAGGTAAAGGTAAAGGCCCTCCCGTTGATCGTCGATTTGCTCGAGCGGGCCCAGTAACGTCTCCATTGGAGACTTTGTTGTTACTGTGTCTGGCATATCGAATACTCTCGGTAGCTTGCTGGGCTCTCCGAGAGGGGCGGAGGAATCGAACTCGGGTCGGCCATGTTGGCCGCTTGTAAGGCGAACGCCCTACCCGCTGTGCTATCGCTCCAGCCCTAATAATAATAATAATAATAATAATAATAATAATAAATTGTCTTTGTTATCAGTCAGCCTTCTCTTATGGCAAATAGTGGACTGGCTTTTCTGAGAAAAGGTCTTTATTTACTATTTCGGTTACATTTTATAATCAATTTTTTGTTTCTATTCAGCTACAGATTTTTCTTAGAACTATAACAAGATTGTTAGAACTTTGAATTCACTTTTGCTAATTTTCCTGTGCAGGTGTTGTACTGGGCACAAAAGCCCTCTTTGAAGAACTTCCTAGCCCTAGGGAAGGATGGCAGAAGCAGTGCTGGTTGATCTCTTTGGTTTGAAAGTGAGCTCTCAGGAAAACAATCAGCAGATTTTACTGAAGATCTTGAATGCCCTCAGACACCACCATGATACCAAGGCCAAATTCTTTTGCATTATGTGTTGCAGTAGCAGCATCACCTGTGAAAGGGATAGCTATGATGACAATTGTCACTTAGATTCAAGCCATGGATTATCAACTCTCTTTCGAGAATTTGAGGCAGTTATCAATCCCAGCATGGCTGCCTCTTTGTATACCATTAAACAAAAAATCGATGAAAAAAATTTGAGCAGCATTAAGGTAATTGTGCCCATCCACCGGAAAATGTTGATGAAGGCCTTTATTGACCGTCTCTTCACTGATGTTTATAGTTTTGAGTTTGAAGATTTACAGATGACTCTGAGTGGAGATCTTTTGAAAGATTCCACTGAAAAAAACATGATCACACCTCAAGAACTAGAAGCAATCCAGAATGAAATACAAACATATTTGAGAAGTCTGCCTGCGCTGAAAGGAGAATTAACCATTATTAAATCTCCTTTGATCTCAGGTAGATTGAATGCTATGTTCTGTCTTACTGCATATTTGAAAAAAAGCTCTTTCTTTAGGGGTAGCTCATCTGTTTTTCTTCCTGTTTCTTTTATGGACGATTGTGGGTTTATGTACTTATTAGCATCAGTTGAAACACACCAGTATCATGGATGACCATATAACATCAGAAGTCTAATAGAATTGTCCCTTCCAAGACATAAATAAACGCTTTATGTAATTTAAGCTTTATGACAAATCCCCAACCTCTCTTTAAAATTAGATAATGGTCCTTACCATCTCCTGCTTAGAAATTCTGAGACTTTATTTTGGCATTTTTACACAGAAGAGTGAAATTTTAAACAGTCTTAACATTTTTGGTTAAATGACATTTACAGAGGACTATTTATGCTATGGGATATAACAGACAAGTGAGCCAGAGATACCCTTTCAAGAGCAATAATCCCCATATGGGGAGGTAAAACAAACAAAGCAGTATATAATAAGATTACTGGAATGTACCAAGTGTTGCAGAAATTAGAGGCCCAATAAGCAAACACAGGTTAAAGTGATAAGGGAAAGTCTTACTGAGAGACTGGGTTTTTCTAGGCTTTTGCAGAACATTTTTAAATCTTCATTATCTTCAACAGATATTTTCATACACGGATTTACTACAAGAACAGGTGGGATATCTTACATACCAACACTCAGCTCCTGCAACCTCTTCAGTAGTTCCAAACGAAGAGATCCCAAGGCAGTTGTGCAGGAAAATCTTCGCAGGTTGGGGAAGGCTGCAGGATTTAATGCAGAGAATTTTTACCGAATCAAGGTAAAGTTTTGTTTTATATTATGGGAGTTCTAAAGTATTCATATTTTGAAAGTTCTTAAAAGTGTTGTTTCTACTATGACTATACTGACTTTAAACCATTTAAATTGTTGTGGGAGGCACCTCCCATGTGATGTTTAAGAGACCTGGGACCCCTTTCTGGGATTCTCAGCTAGTCACCCACTGTTCAATGCAAGAGCCCTGAACGTGGTGCTGTTCAGAAGCTGAAGTGCCCGGGATTATCCAGACCATGTGGTAGTACTTAAGGGCTTCTAGGTCTGCATTTAGTGATGCTTGGGATACCATGTGTTGCTGGGAATCAAATTGGAGTCGGCTGCATGAAAGTAAGCATGCACCTTAACCCCTATGCTCTCTAGCCCGCTAAACCATTTAATTTATAAATCTGATGTTTTATCTCAAAATTTAAGATAAATAATTTGAGAATGTTTGTGGTCATTTACTTAGCTTTGTACACCATCGCATAGGATCAAATCTGTAACTATTATATTTCACCTGGAGTTCTTTATATCAAAAAGTATCATTAATTCTCAGAAAGTAAGAATCACTTTCCTTTTAATTTAAGATTGTTTCTTAGTTGTGGGAGAGAAAAGCAATTATTTTCCCAATCAACATTAAGAAGAACTGGGGTCACAATTGATAAATAATTTTTTGTTTCATATAGAGTTTTGTTTTTATGTGAGTTTAGGAAAAGTAAAACTATTTTTGATCTGGTAATTAACTTCTTCATTAAAGTGGTATTTTGTGGTAAGCACTGCAAATAGAGATTTATCCATCTCCAGTAGAAAGAGTTCATGATGTATTGAATTTTTAAATACTTAATTCTGATTTCCTATGAAGAAAATATTCAGAGAGTATAATGCCAGAAGTTGTCTGGAGCGATAGTATATTGGGTAAGGTCCTTCCCTTGCACATACATAGCAAACTGGGATTCTGTCCCGAACCCCACATGGTCCCCTGAACCCTACTAGGAATGATTCCTAAGTGCCAAGCGAAAAGTAAGCCCTGAGCACTGCCAGGTAGGTCTCAAAAAATCAAAACCAAAACAAACAAAATAAATAAATAAAAGCCAGAAGTTAAGTAAATTTTTTATATTAACATATATGAATCGATATATTTAATAAGTATGTACAGGATGATTGTAAATTGGTTATATAGTTTTATATAAAATGAATGATTCAAGAAAAATTTGTGCCATGGAGGATTCCTATTTTCATATCATTTTGTCTCATATTTTTGCTGTCAGACTGATCATGCCAGTGATGTCTGGATTATGGGAAAAAAGGAGCCTGACTCTTATGATGGAATCATCACCAATCAGAGAGGAGTCACAATAGCAGCTCTTGGTGCTGATTGCATACCAATAGTTTTTGCAGATTCTGTCAAAAAAGTATGTGGAGTTGCTCACTCTGGTAAGTACTCTTATAAGCATTTAGGATTTTAGTAATCTTTTTTTTATTTTTAGTTTAACTTTTTAATTTTAACTTAAATTTTTACTTAATTTTTAAAATTTATATAAAATTTAAATTTTTATTATTTTTAATTCAAATTTTTAGTTAATGTTTTGTTGTACTACAACAATATTGTTGTAGTACAATAAAAATTTATAACTTCTAGTGGACATGAGAAACAATTGCTTTTCATGCAGATGAATGTAAAGAGAATAGATGGGGCTGCCAGACCCTTGTTACAAGTGCAGATAGAAGGAGCGCTTAGTCAGATTATATGAATCAGGGCAGAATTCACAGGAGTAAGCAACACTTACACTGACTACTGAAGAATTGGTAGACTGTGGCTAGGTGCCAGTGTTTCTTAGGAGGGGTGGTATTAATGTTTCAGACAAGATAATCTAATATTGCAGTTTAAAGCTGCTTAGCTTTTGAAATTCTGAATGCCACAAGCATCCCTACTTGTCTAAACCAGTTATGGGGATGTGGCTCAGTGGTAGAACACTTGGCTTTGAATGTGTGAGTCCTGAGTTGGATTCCTGGGACCATGCCCTTGAGCACTTAGGCCCCAAAGTACTGAATCCACTCCTCCCCAGCACTGACCCACTGTGTGTGTCCACAAGCAAACAAACAAAAAATTCACATGACAAACAAGTTTTTCAAGTAAACAGATTTACAGATTTAGTTTATAAAAATAAGAAATAAGAAATAAGTAGAGTGTTAGATGCTCTATTGTGATAAAATTATGGAACTTTGTTCTCTGAAATTATTTTAAAGCTGTATTTATTTTATCTGGTCATTATTTTGCATGTGAAATGAGGGAAGATACTTTGGGTTTCTTTCTGCATCTGAATACCTGACTTTGTTCATCAGTAATTAATAAAGGAATATGTCTTGCTCTAGATAAAGTTCTAGATTTGGATGACGAGAAGTTATGTGTACTGGTTGATGTTTTTACATTATTAAAAATTTGAATCTTACTACTGAATACAAAATGTAACATTTGCTAATTTTAGCTTATGAAATTGACTTTAAAGTATCAAAGATAAAATATAAATGTAAAGTCAAAATAAAGTCTTGAAAAATAAGGAAGTTAGTTTTTATACTGATTTTTTAAAAAACTTTGTATAAAACTACAATAATCAAAGCAGTACTATTATCATAAAGACATACATTAACCCAATAGAATAAAATAGGGATCCCAGAAATTTATTTTTGCATTTTATGGTGTAATAATTCACGACAAGGTAATTAGACAGCATGGTGAAAGAACAATTTCTTCAACTAATAGTCTTAGGAAAACTAGATAGTCACATGAAAAAAAGCGATTCTGAATCCTCGACTTACATCATATATAAAAATGAACTAAAATGGATCAAGGACTTAATGTTTAGAACCTGTAACATTCACTAAAGAAAACTTAATTGGCATTCATTGTGATCTTGGATTAGGCATTATTTTCCTTAATTTGACACCAAAAGCACAAGTGAAAATATATAAATAGAATATTGTCAATGTCCCATGGTGGCTCTGTCCCCTGGTGCATGTGGGACTAAATTTTGTTCCCCCAGCTGATGGACAGAAGAACAAATAATCGAGCTGATCACCAGTAATGATTTTATTGAAACTGCTATGTGCAGGGAGGCAGCAGGGACCAAATGGGAAACAATGCAATAAATGGTTGACAGACAGGGAAAGTCACTAAGGAGAAGATAAACCTAAGCACCATGGGGAATTGGGAGTGCCCTGGGGAATAGGGAGTGCCTCTGGAGCAAAATGGTGGGTGGTAACAGTGGTTGACAGGGCTGATAGGCAGTGTCATTAACATAAGCTCTCTGAGAGGGAGGGAAGATGGCCCAAAGTCTAGCCCGAGCTGCTCTTAGCTATAGAGGGACAATGAGTCAGCAAATTCTGTTAACTGAATTGCAGCAATTACAAATTATGGGGAAATGGCACCCCTTTTGGTGCTGTCAGTCCCCATCTCTGAAGAGGGTCTCTGAAGCCCTCTCACTTCTCGGAGACTCTCCAGAGGGCTTTTCAACAGGGTGGCACTGCTTCAGGAGTATTACCAGCAAGGATTTCAACAGAATATTATAGGAATAAAAGATCCTGTGCTCAAGAGGAAAAACACAGTTAAAAGACAAACCACAGAATCAGGGAAAACATTTGCAATTTGTAAAGAGATTAATATCTATCATATATAATTTTTTTCAATATTACAACAATGAAAAACAGAATTCAACCTAAAGATAGACAAAAATCTTGAATAGATATTTTTTTCCTGTCAGTGTATTAAAATGTCCACAAGCATATGAAAGATGTTCAACATTTCTAATAATTGGGGAGATGTAAATCAAAACCACAATACCATCATGATAGCAAATGTAAAAAGGATCAATAGGAGATAATAATGTTGGTGAGAATATGGAGAAATTGGAACTCTAATGCACTGTTGGTGAGTATATAAAGTAGAAGAGCTGCAGTGGAAGATAACGTTGTAGTTTCTCAAAACATTTTAAATTGGATGACCAAGATTCCACTTTTGAGTATATATCCAAGAGAACTAGATATTCTCACATACTTGCCCATAACAGCTTTATTTACCAGAGCCAAGATGTGGAAGCTATCCATGAATGAATGGACAAGCAAAATACATATAATATAATATTGTTTACATACAATAAAATATCGTTCGGCCTTTAAAGGGAAAGAAATTCTGACACATTTGCAACAAAATGAACTTTGAGAACAATAAGCTAAGTTAAATAAATTTTTAAAGAAGACATTCTGTAAAGTTCCATTTAGGTGAATTATTTATATTAGCCAAATTCTTAGAAACAAAATAGATCAAAGATTTCTAAGAAATGGTAGAAAACAGATGGGGTAAAGATTAATAAAGAATTTTAGTTTTTTATGATGAAAAATTTCTGGACATTGGCTATACAATGATCTAAATATACTTACCATCATTGTATACACTTGCAATATTGTAGCACTGTCCTCCTGTTGTTCATCAATTTGCTCTAATTGGCACCAGTAATGTCTCCATTGTGAAACTTGTTGTTACTGTTTTTAGCATATGGAATAGCCTTGGGGAGCTTGCCAGGCTCTGCCATGAGGGCGGGATACTCTCAGTAGCTTGCTGGGCTCACCAAGAGGGGCAAAGGAATTGAACCCGTGCTGGCACCGTGCAAGGCAAACGCCCTACCCACTGTGCTATCAAATGATAAATTTTATGTTATATATTTCTTCCTTGAACTTTCAAACTATAAAAGAAAATTGAGAGAAAAAAGATCAAAGAGTAGTTGTAATATTGTAGAACATTTTACAAAGAGAGTAAAAGGAACCTCTCATTAAATATTCTTTCTGACATAGGTGCTTTTATTATAGACCTCATTCAAAAATCAGTATTTTAGTTATTGGACTTAATTTTATTGATTAAATTACTATTTCTAGACTAGACTGAATAAAATACACTACTATGCTCATTTTTACCTTAGATACAAACTAAAGACAAAACTAAACTAAAGACAAAAGAAATGGTAAGTTTAATTTATGTCTTTTTCTTCCAACTTAACAGGTTGGAAAGGTACTTTGTTAGGTGTTGCCATGGCCACAGTGAATGCTCTGATAACAGAATATGACTGTAGTTTAGAAGATATTATTGTAGTCCTGGGACCTTCAATAGGACCGTGCTGTTTTACTCTCCCAAGGGAATCAGCAGAGGCATTTCATAATCTTCATCCTGAATGTGTACGCTTATTTGACTCACCAAATCCATATGTAGATATTCGTAAAGCAACCAGGTATGTTTGATTTCCTTCTCAAACTGCACCTTCTGTTATTGCTTCTGATTCTAAAATGAAAGTTATTTAGAAAAACAGTAACTTCAAGGAAAATTTAGGTGGCAGATATTGAGATAGCTTACAGGCATGTAGACAGGAGCTCATTTAAAATCTGAAATACATACTCATTAAGTTTGAATAACAGAAAATTTCCATTCAGGTACCTACTGATTGAAAAGTAAAAGAAGAGTTGACATTCATTTTAAGAGCTTCACTTAAACTTCACTTAGAAGAAGTGGCATATATTTTACTTCAGAACCATTCCTCAGCTAATTTCTCCTGAATGTAATAAACTATCAGGAAACTGACATTTTGAAAGTTTCTGTAATGAACTAGAGGCATATATATATATATATATTAGAAAAATTAATATTCCAGATAATGCAAGGCTAGAGAGTTCAGGGATTAGGGTAGCCCTAGAGGCCCCTGAGCACCAGTGGGGTGACCCTGGGGACTATAAGCACTGCAGGGCCTGAGCAGCACCACATCCTTGGACCCCAGCACTGTACCAGTCTGCCCAGTTGGCCAGTTATCAACATGAGTTGCCTTTGGACCCTCTGAGTACCGTTTAGGATAACCCTACAAAATCAGATAATCTAAGTCCCTTTTAAGTTTCTATGTTCCCTTATATTTTTAAATTTGTGAAGTAGTGCTGTTATCTATTAAAGTTATTTGTAACTTATACAAAGGAAAATGGATGTTTGATTTAAATCATGTTTTTATTATGATCATTAAGTTCATGAGCCTTATTTATTACTCAAGTATTGAAATTGACTCCTAGATGTGACTTTTGGAATAAAAATTATTTATAGTTGTAGTTCAGATTATAAAGGTTTATGAGAAGCACATTATCTGTGAAAAATCTTATTTTTTCATTCATTCATTCATTCATCATCCTGTTATTCGTCGATTGCCTCGAGCAGGCCCCAATAACGTCTCTTTCATCCTAGCCCTGAGATTATATTCAAGGCTCTTTAGGAGAATGAGACCCATCATTGTTATTGGTATTTGGCATATTTGGTACGCCACGGGGAGTTTGCCAGACTCTGCCGTGTGGGCAGGCTACATTCGATAGCCTGCAAGTTTGTCCAAAGTAGGAATGAGATAATAAGATGTCATAAAAAGATGTCCTGATAAGATGTCGCAAGGCCGCGAATGCGGCAGCGTGGTTCCGGGAGCTGGATTTTACAGTCTCTGAGTCTTGGCCGTTGATGGGATTACACAGCGCCAGGGGGCCAGGTGGTGGGTGTGACCCCCGCCTAATGGAATTTGGAGGATCTGGGTGGAGGATGCTCGACTCCAATCCGAGTAGGCTTGGAGATTTCGGCCCCGGAACCCGCGTGGCTTTGTCCCTCTGCCAGTACCTTCATGTGTGCGGAGAGTGGTCTCAGCATGGTGGTGGCTGGTCCTGGAGGTCTTCGGCTGCCGGAGCCCTGGTCGGGGCGGGGAGGAAAGCTCAACCCGATTATAAAGGTTTAATCAGAAGCACATTATCTGTGAAAAATCTTATTAGTAGAAAGAAAAGATAGAGGAGGGCCACATGCTTAAAAGCACCCTCAGTCTGAATCACATGGAGTTTGCAAATACCCTAATAAGCTTAGAAGTTTCTTCACAAGTGCTTGATTATTTTGATTATAAAAGTCTGTGCACGTGGTTATAAAAGGCTGTACATTCCATTTATGAACTTAGGTGACAAATAATTATAATTCCTTGTTTTATAACAGAATAGCGATTTGCATTATTCCAAAAAGACTTTTTCCTGCATCTTTTGCATAAGTAACTTCTTCATTTTATATATTTTTGGCAATTAATAAAATAAAGTCTTGTTGTTTTTTCGAAAAATCTTTATCCTAAGGATTCTTCTAGAACAGGGAGGAATTCTTTCACAGAATATTCAAGACCAGTACCAAGATCTCAGCCTCTGTACATCCTGCCATCCTGACAAGTTTTTCTCCCATGTCCGAGATGGCCTAAATTTTGGCACACAAATTGGCTTCATATCAATTAGAGAATGAGGTAGGTTCTCTCTGCCTTACCCTATTTCTTTCATCCCCCTTTCCTCTTTTCATCCTCCTTTCTGCATTCAAAATATAATTATATTAACTATTCTCCTTGAATCCTATAAAATTATGCCTTATACTGAAACTATAGTGAGAGTAAAGTTAATACTCAGTGATATTCTAGTATAAAGAATGGAGTACCTACTCTTTTTCTTAGTTATCAGCGAATACTTAGAAACAAATTGCAAGTTTAAAAATAATCTTTTCTTTTTTAAAATTTTAGCACTGTCCTCCCATTGTTCATCGATTTGCTGGAGTGGGCCCAGTAACGTCTCCATTTTGAGACTTGATGTTACTGTGTTTGCCGTATTGAATATGTCATGGGTAGCTTGCCAGGCTTTGCCATGTGGGTGAGATAAATTTATTTTGTATTTATTTTTTTAATGAATCACCGTGAGGTACAGTTACAGACTTACAAACTTTGGTGCTTACATTTCAGTCATACAATGAATCTTTTCTTTTAAAGTACCCTCTGTATGCAATTTAACCACCTATATATTTAATAGCCATACATTTTACATGGGCTGGAGCAATAGCAGAGCGGGTAGGGCATTTGCCTTGCACGCAGCCAACATGCCGACCTGAGTTCGATTCCTCCGCCCCTCTTGGAGAGCTCGGCAAACTATGGAGAGTATCTCGCCTGCATGGCAAAGCCTGGCAAGCTCCCCATGACGTATTCGATATGCCAAACACAGTAACAAGTCTCACAATGTTACTGGGCCCGCTCGAGCAAATCGATGAACAACGGGAGGACAGTGACAGTGACATTTCATATTTAACATTCTCATTTAAATCTTGTGATTTTTGAGAATCCCTTTTTGCATAGGAACTCTTCATATAAGTTGACTTATTTTTTAACTAGATTGATGTAGGAGTTGGTCAGTCTCCTTAAAATGCCAGATAATAGATATTTAGTCTTTGAGAGACATATAGACTCATAGCTACTTACCCCTTCTATTTTAGAGAATAGGCAGATAGGAATAGTATAGAAATGAATGAAGATACGACTTTCAATAAAAACTTTTTGTAGAAAAATATAGGGAGTTAGGCAGAGTTAGCCCACAAATACATATAGTTTGCTGACATATGATCTATAGTTATACAGCAAGATTGAATATAGTTTCCTTAGATTACCTTTTATTATGTTTTATTTTACTTTTACAAATATATTTTATGCCAGTTATTTAGCACTGACCAGTTGGCTTACATGTATTTTTCCTTCAGGTTACTTTTAGCTGTATTAATACTATTTTAAACCTTCACAATGTTTTTAACTCTGAAATCTTATGATCCTTATTTTAATTTTCTGCCAGCAAAGTTTTCACACTTGATTTCTGTGTGTTTGTTTTACAGATACTCCACTGAGTTTTTGCATAACTTCATTATCTCCTTCCAAACTGGCTGAAAGAGAGGAATGTAGCTGTCTGATTTGCTTTAAACGTCATAGAGATTAAAGTGGTATAATCTGTGATTAGGGAATATTTTAATTATCATCCAAAGCCAAATGATTGTCATTTGATTCTTAAAAACAAAACAAAAAATGACATGAACTTCAGTATTATGTAGCTTATTTGTTATAGAGGTGCAGATCATTCTTAAAGTCTTTTGTTCTTTTTCTGACATAAATGGGGAATACATCTGTTCAGTTACTACAGACATTGTGTGAAGCTAGGTGAAATCGAAATGAGACATTTTGCCTTAAGCCTAATGCAGTGCCAATACCTTTAACACTTTAATAGCAATAAAAGTGCAAAAGAAGAAAAGATTAAGTCAGTCTGGAAGTCAAGATAGACAAGTTAATATTTACCACTTATAGAAAAAATAATATCATAACGACAAAGGCTATTAAGACTTTGAGGGATGAAGAGGAAGCAGGAAAACCAGGAAGTATAAAGTAGGAAACTGAAAGTGTGTGGAATGTGCTAGTGGTTCCCTTTTTAAACTTTGCAGAAAGATCAGTCAGCACACTTCTGGAAATCTACCTTCCTTTAAAGAAGCAAAGTGTGCCCCAATTGCACCAGCAGCAACCATTGTTACCAGCCACTGCCTTGCCCCTTTATCCTAGAATTCTCCCTGAGGGTGGAATAATCGTCCACTTTGGGAAATACTTATCTAAAAAGAGAAGAGTGTGAGCAGGAGTTAATGCAAATACAGACTAGAAACACAACAAGTAAGGATCTCAAATGCCATGTCCAAGAGTTTGGATTTATTTACCAGGCAGATTAGGCATAAAAGGAGGCGAGTGTCTCTTTTTCATGTATGATCCTCTGAGTACTTTCAGGTGTGGCTAAAACATTTTTCTTTTTCAGCGGACTCAAGACTTAATGTCCAATGAGAGGCAATAGTCTGTAAATTAGCAATATCAATGTTGTGATAGGTATTGCAATGTTGTAATGACTTTATGCCTTATCCAATTTAATTTTTCTATTCAGCATGTGACAGAATGTAAATTTGTAATAAAATACCTCATTTCTTTCAGTTTAGGAAAAGCATTAATGTATAGCTTGTAGCAATTTCAAATGCATACAATACTCTTATTTAATGATTTCTACAAAAATCATGGAATGATTTTATTCAATGGAAAGTTGATAAATTCCCATCTCTTTACTGTGTAGTCTGTTGATGTTTACAAATTTCGAGGGTATTAAGCAGCCACTTTTCACTTTATGTATCAAAATACCTCAAAATCAAATAAAAACTACATTTGATTATCTGATTTTGGATTATTTGTGCCAGAACATGTAACAAAATGTTGTTTTCTTGCTGTTTCACTGAGAAAAGAATTGATGTAATGACTTTGAAACAGAATGAGTGCATTGTTAAATAATCATGTATTATTATTTCCACAATGTCGGTTTCTCTTGAGCATTGATCCAAGCATACCATGAGGTACCCTGAGCACAGAGTGATCCCTGCACCAGAGCCAGAAGTAGGCCTTGAGCCCAGTGTGTCCCCCTCATAAAAGAAAGGAATTAATTTTTTTAACTCAACTAAGAGTTCATTTGAAAATTAGTAAGATTTTTAAGTTTCTAAATCTAAAATTGATCAAATTATACTCTAAAATTTTTTAAGTAGTATAATGATTAACTATTTTATCTTCTTGTTGTATAAAACAAAATTTAAAATGATCTTTTCACTAGGAAGCAGTATTTTGAAATTCTGTATTCCTTGGTATAAAGTTAACCCAGTCTTGATTTCTGTATTGTATAAGATTTCTGTATTGTATTTGTGCAAAAGTTACATCTTCAATGGACACATTCTACTGTTTTTATGTGAACTCACAGAATTTCACTAAAGAAATCCAGTAGTTTAGAGAAAGCACTACTACATTATCTGTGTGTTTATTTTATTTTATTTTTATTTCTGTTTAATTATTTTTTAATTAAATCACAGTGAGATATACAGTTGCAAAGTTGTTCATGATTAGGCTTTAGTCATACAATATTCCAACACCCATCCCTTTACCAGGGTACATTTCTCAAGTTTCTCTCCATCCCCCCACTCTGTGGCATGCACTTTCTCTCTCTCTGTCTGTCTCCCTCTGTCTCCCTCTGTCTCTCTTTCTCTCTTCTCTCTCTCTATCTCTCTGTCTCTGTCTTTCTGTCTCTCTTGCCTTTTGGGCATTATTGTTTGCAATACAGATACTGAAAGATTATCGTAATAATAGTTGGATAATAGAAATGATCACTTTGAACGGGAACTGAGTGTTGAAAGTATCACTGTAGTATTGTCCTCCCGTTGTTCATCAATTTGCTCGAGTAGACCCAGTAACGTCTCCATTGTGAGATGCATTGTTACTACTGTGTTTGGCATATCAAATACGTCATGGAATTTACATACAAGTGGTACTACATAGAAAGTATCATGCCAAGCGAAATGAGTCACAAAGAGAGGGATAGACATAGAAAGATTGCATTCATCTGGGGGATATAAAGTAACAAAATAGGAGATTAATACCCAAGAATAGCTGAGATCAGTACCAGAAGGATTACTCCATAGCTTAGAGGCCAGCCGGGCATTCTGGGGGAAAGGGCAGCTCAGATAGAGAAGGGTGTTTGGAGAATCCTCCCAGGAGGGGAGACGCATGTTGAAAGGGTGTTTGGAGAATCCTCCCAGGAGGGGAGACGCATGTTGAAAGTAGACTATGGACCGAACATGATTGCCACTCAATGCCTCTTTTGCAGATCACAACACCCAAAAGGAGAGAGAGAACACAAGGGAATGCCCTGCCACAGAGGCAGGGTGGGATGGGGGGGAATGGGTGTGGGAGGGATACTGGAATCCATGGTGGTGGAAAATGGGCACTGGTGGAGGGATGGGTATTTGATCATTGTATAATCGAAACCGAAGCACAAAAATTTGTAAATCTACAACCGTACCTCATGGTGTTTCACTAATAAAAATGAAAAAAAAAATACGTCATGGGTAGCTTGCCAGGCTTTGCCGTGCAGGCTAGATACTCTCGGTAGATTGCCGGGCTCTCCGAGAGGGGTGGAGTAATCAAACCCGGGTCAGCCAGGTTGGCTGTGTGCAAGGCCCTACCTGTTGAAAGTAGGTAAAGGAATATATCTTTGTGTTTATATGTTTGTGTGTCCTAAATTGCGAATAAGAAATATGTTAAATATTATATATCATATCTAGCTTCTCTCTCCTACTTAGGTAAACTCACACATGATTGAAATGATTAAACAGTGTGGAGGTGAGGGGGAGTCTGGCATGGGGGTTGGAAGAAGAGACCAGACAAGGATTTTGGACACATTGGTGGTGGTAGGGTCTAATCATTTTGTTTAATGATGCCATAAATTTGAACACTATTATAATTTTCTGAACTATAATAAAAAATACACAATTAGAAGCAATGAAATTGTAGCTTTTTCTCCCTAATTTTTAATTATTTTTTAAATTGTGCAATAAAGAATGGGAAGCATAGTTAAATCACTTACTGTCTATGTTGAGAGGGACTAGCACATATATTTCCATCATGGATGATTTTGAAATTTGTGGTTTCAAAGATGAGGCAGCTGCTGTAACGAATGCATTGTTTGGTACTCAGACATTGCTTAATGAAGGAAAATGAAATCTGTTAGTACTGCTCTTTCCAGATTAACATTTTTGGTTTGGACTCATGATAACCACATGTCAGTTGGTAGAAACAAACTTTTCATTCTCAGATGCCTTTTCTTGGTTGAGAAAAATGCTTACATCACATGCCCTCTGTTCCTGATTCTAGATGCCTGAGGCAAACTCGTCCTTTCCGTGTCTAGAACAGACTTTTTTTTTTTCTTTTTCAGAAGACTGGGGTGTCCAGTTACTGTATTTTATTAAACTATCAAAATTTCCAGGAGTCACTAGAGCTAAAAATAACATTTCTTTTTAACACCAACAACAAAACAGTCAAGTACTCGTATTTCAAGAGAAACTTCTGTGGAACACAGATGTGTTTTTGATAACAACTAAGTTTTGAGTTTTCACTCTTCTTCATTTTCTTATTTTCACCACATGTTACTTCAGTTTCCATGTTTTTCTACTTTCAGATACCTATTCATTCTTTTTGGGGTGGGGGGGGTTACACCTGGTGTTGCACAAGGGTTACTCCTGGCTCATGCACTCAGAAATTACTCCTGGTGGTGCTCAGGGATCATACGGGATGCTGGGAGTCAAACCCAGATCGATCGCGTGGAAGGCAAACTCCCTACCCGCTGTGTTACCGCTCCAGCCCCTTCATATTCATTCTTGGCTTTATAAATTTCTTGTTGTACACTTGGGACCCCTCAAATACAATTTCCTCTAAAGTTAGCTTACTATTTTCTCTCCAAAACTCGCTTCCTCCTTGTGTTCTATTTTAAAGAATAAAATTAATATCCTCTCATTTGCACAACCAAACAACTGAAATGATCTCTAAATGTCTCCCTTTCCTCCAGTACTGCCCTGACCATAACACCGATTGGCACATTAACATCTATCCCTGTGTCTGTTTCTACTGACACAGACGTTCAGTTCATAAACTTTCAGCATCACTAGAGCAGCCTTCCAATGAGACCTTCATTATCGCATCCCATCTTACTGCTGGTAGAGATTGCTCTAAAATGCAAATATGCTCATATTACATGCCTCAGATTTATTTATGGCCTTTCTACTGTTCTAACATAAAGGCAGAATTTATAAGGGTTGTCTTAATCTTGTCCCAGCTTACCTCTTCACTTTCCACTACTCATTCTTTACCAATTTCAGTTATTCTACATGTTTTTTCTTTCTTAGATTAATGTGTCATTAAGGTAGGTCAGACAACAAAAACAAAAACTGGTCTGCAATCAAAGATGAATTGACTCAGAATTGGTTCAAGATTACTTTCATGTAGGAGTTTTTGCTAAATTAGAAAGTAAGACAGTACCAAAGACAAAGACAATATAAATATCAAAGCCCTAGGTCCTCATAGAAATGACCAACTTCAGTTGTACGTATAAATTCTGCCTTTATGTTAGAACAGTAGAAAAGAAAGAAGTCTTGTGATTGTCTTCATAGATGTCTGAAAGGCATCCGACCTTATTATTTTTTTTTCTTTTTGGGTCACACCCAGCGATGCTCAGGGGTTATTCCTGGCTCTGCACTGTAGCACTGTAGCACTGTAGCACTGTACTCCTGTTGTTCATCGATTTGCTCAAGTGGGCACAGTAACATCTCCATTATGAGATTTGTTGTTACTGTGTTTGGCATATCGACTACATCACGAGGAGCTTGCCAGGCTTTGCCGTGAGGGTGAGATACTCTCAGTAGCTTGCGGGACTATCCGAGAGGGGTGGAAAAATCAAACTTGGGTTGGCCTTGTCAGCCGCGTGCAAGGCAAACTTCCTACCGCTTTGCTATCACTACAGCCCTAAAAAATATGGAACACTTCACGAATTTGCATGCAATCCTTGTGCAGGGGCCATGCTAATCTTCTCTGTATCGTTCCAATTTTCAGTATATGTGCTGCCTAAGCGAGCTCTGCACTCAGAATATTGCTGGCGGTGCTTCGAACCCAGGTTGGCTGCATGCAAGGTAAATGCCAAATCCGCTATGCTATTGCTCCGGCCCCTCCAACCTTACTGTTGACAAAGAAAAGGGAGAAGACTGGAGAGATAGCACAGGGGGTAAGGCGCTTGCCTTGCACACTGTCTACAATAGTTCAAACCCAGTACTTCATATAGTCCTCCAAGTAATGCCTGACGTGATTCCTGAGCACAGAGTCAGGAGTAAGCCCTGAGCATCACTTGGCACCAAAAGACAATAAAAGGAAAGGAGGGTGAAGAGGAAGATAGGACGGAGGAAGGAAGGGAGGGAGGGAGGGAAGGAGGAAAGGAAAGAAGGAAGGAGGGAGGGAAGGAAGGAAGGAAGGAAGGAAGGAAGGAAGGAAGGAAGGAAGGAAGGAAGGAAGGAAGGAAGGGAGAAACTAAACCTCAATATGAGTCCATTCCTTATTAAAGACAAAGCCAGCATGGTTTAATCAGCTGTGAACACTGTTGCTTCCTTGTGTGCTTTCGTGGGAAATGCACAGAATCACCATGAAATACTCCTTTCAGAAGTGTAGAGAGTGAATCTAATCAGCCCTTGGACTACCAATTTATGAGAAACACAGGAGACAGAGAATTAAGCTCAAACATATTATATTTAGAGTGGTTTTTAAAAGCTTTTTTAAAAAAATTATTTCGCAATGCCTTTTCAGCAGTTCTGATTGTTGGGGGGAAATTCCAAACAATAATGGTGCATCTTTTGTCGAAATAATGAATGTATTCAAAGTAGAAAGAGAGTTAAGTAGAAATCATCAGCCTCACAGGCATCGGGAGGAGTGGGGGGGGGGGTATATTTGGGTTCTTGGTGGTGAAAAATAATTACTGGTGAGGGGAGGGGTGTTTGATTATTGTATGACCGAGACTTAAACCTGAAAGCTTTGTAACTTTTCTCACGGTGA